TTTTTGTTTACCTAGTGCTTATATAATATCAAATGAGACAGCGATACATTTCTACTCTGTATGTGGCTTATTTCCTGCTTAAGTAACTTTTTATTTCTCTGGGAATAATTAAGTCAATCTTGGGTTTTGAGTTTTTCGTTGCTTTTGCTTTCATACCCGTTTTTTATACATTATTTTTTTTTTTTGGTTATCTATAACAAAATTATTTACAAATAAGTGTAGCCGAAAATCATATTCATTTAAATAAAGCAATTAAAAATTTAAATTGTAACGTTTTTCATTTCGGAGGGAGATTGTGTGACCGGCGCATTGCTTTCAATGAGCACGCAGCCCTGGTACGCGTGAACAGCTGGCTGGGGCTGGAGCAATAAGAACAAAGAGAGCGTGAACAGCACAAAGAGCGTAAGCAGGCCAAAGAGAGCGCGCTCACGTCATTGTATGTGGGCGTGCTTATGTGGGTGTAAGTTCCAGCGTTGCGAATGTATGCGTACGTGTGGGTGTGTGAGTGCGTATGTGTGTATTGCTGAAGAAGGCGGTGGGAGGTTGGGCAAACAAAAATCGATTGCAACAGCAAATCGACTACAGGAAGCGCCTCATAATAAGGCACGAAGCCGCGACGAGAACGTGAACGACGCACACGAAATAAGCAGAGGCACTTGAATTGACTTTGGCCACCCCGCCTACCACGCTACACCTCCTCTGTGCCTAGCAGCCGTAAAATGATTACAGGCTAACGCCAAAAAAGAAAAAAAAGAGGAAGCAGCTAAAGGCAAATCAGCAGAAGAAGCGCAGCAACAGCAGAGCCACTGGTCGAGGCAGTAGAGCAGCAGCAAAAGCAAAAGCAAAAGTAACAGCAACAGCAGTAAAGCAGCAGCAGCAGCAATTGCCAGGGAGCCAAGCGAAAAGGAACAAAATTGAATTTTATCACACATTGAGGCCTGTCCGCCTGAAAATAACTAATTAAAAAAAGCTATTGAAAGCGAAAATTGCGCACTTGCTGGGCCGCGGAGAGTTGGAAAAGCGTGTGTGTGTGTGTGCGTGCGTGCGTGTGTGAGTGCGTATACGACGTGTACGTGTACGTGTACCTGTGCCTGTGCGAGTCCGTGTTCGTGTCCGTGTGTGTGCTGTGCGTGTATGTGCGAGTGCGTGCGAGTGTGTTGAGCGCTTCTGCTGCGCTTTTTTTATGCAAGCAAAAATTGCGATAGCGAGCAGCAGCGGCAACGGCAGCGAAAAGGCTAAAGTGGCGCCTACGCCAGACGACTGGAGACAAATGCGGCGAGCGTTGCAAAACTATGGAGCTGGATAAATGAAACAGAGCGCAGTTGAGAACAAACTCGAGTGGGAGCTGCAGCAGCATTCAGCCTGCTGCTGTCGGTATACATTGTGCGAGGCACACATACCAACGCGCATAGCTACGAACACGCACAAACACGCGCGCACACACACACACACGCAGTCACTCAGAGACATCCATTCAGTGAACGACTAAATCGCTGACACACACTCACTCACTCACTCACACACACACACACACACGCGCGCACGCACGCACACGGACAGCAAGTCGATAACGCACGCCAAAGGATACATAACGGGACAACGAGTCCAAAATAGCTGCAAGTGAAGTCTGGCTGCCGGGCGGCCCATTTATAAATAGCCTCTGGCAGACGAGCAACCAGCAGCACGCAGGTGTAAAATGGTAACAATGAACTCGGAGGCGGACAAAACACAGAGCAGCACGCAAGCAACCAATGCGCTGGCCATGAGCAGCGCACCGAAGTCGCCAGTCCCAGCGCCAACGCCAGCGCCAGCCTCAGCTCCAGCTCCAAATCCAGAACCAACGGCCGCTCCTGTACCAGCAATAGCAGTTGAAGCCCCAGCGGCAACCGAAGCAGCCATCCCAGCAACAGTGGCAACAGAAGTTGTTACAACAGCAGCAGCAACAGTCGCAGCAGCAACAGAGGCCACAACAACAACAACAGTCAGCAGTTCAGTGTCGAACGACAACAACAATGCTACTGCCACAGCTGATGCTGCAGCAGCAACAGTTGCTTCCGCAGCTGCAACAATTGCTGAGCCGGGACAGCAGCTGGTGGACAGCGCCAATGCGAACAGCAGCGAGGTAATTGCCGCTGCAGTCACCACCGCCACCGCCACCGCCACCAACACTAACACCACCAGCAACAGCAACACCAGCAACAGCGCCAGCGCTAGCAACAGCGCCAGCAGCAGCAGCAGTGCCAGCAGCAACAGCAACAACTGCACGGCAACTGTTGCCGCTGCCACGCCCCCGCCGTCTAGCAAGACGGTGAGCATTCGGGATGCAACGGCGCCAAGTGGCAGCGGCACCTCCACCACCAAGTCGAGCGGGCTGCTCAGCGTGGGCAGCAATCATCATCATCATCACCATCACTCCTCGCCCTCGCAGTCGCAGTCGCAGTCGCAATCGCAGCCGCAGTCGCAGTCGCAGTCCGCACAATCTCAGCCGCCGGCAGCGCCGTCCGTGCCGCAACAGCCGCCGCACCATCAGCGCGGCAGCAAAAACGAGGATGCGCCCAACATACTCGTCTACAAGAAGGTGCGTAGCGAATCGAATAAACTATAATAATGCAATAATCTAGACGAATCGATACAGACATACATATGTTAGGCGTACGAGGCTATGGAAAGATTTCCACTATTTCGCAAAAGGCCAATAGCGCAGATATCTCAGTTCGTAATAACATAAACACTGCCCAAAATAGAAAACAATTTCGTTTGCTCTTGAAATTTCTTACCGGGAATTGTCTTACCCTGACACAGGTTATATTACTTTTCTGAAAGCTCTTTGACATTTTGCATATCATAGCGTTGATCTAGTTATATTATTATACATAGATAGATTTTTATATTATACTTCTTAAAACATTTTTGGTTTTTACAACTATAGAACAAACAGAATACTTAGTTTAGGGAAAGAAAGAGATGCAGAATAAAATAGGCTCATACCAAGCATAATGGAATATTTTCGACATTCATATTAGGTCTAACCAGTCATACATATTATAATAACAGAAGTTTCTTTTCTTTCATTTGAATTTCACAATATTTCAAGTTTCATCGATTGAATTCAAAATCATTTCGAAGCTGCTCATAAAAATATTGTCTTATCCGATTGTTAATTGGAAGTTAAATTCCAAATTTCCAAATCTAAATAGATATATATCAAGATTAGTTATTCCTATTACCCCTACTAATTATAAACATAGTAAAAAATCACTTCTAAATTTACAACTGAAAAGAAACGAAACTAGAACCCAATCTTTCTTTATTTATTTATTATAAAAGTTATTGACAAAACTAGAGTCAACTTATTAAAGTGTACTATAAAGCCTAAAAGAATAATGCCTATCAATAATACCACCCGGTAGGAGTACTTTACCGACTCATTCTATGTTGGAATATATACAAAAATTGAATTTGAATAACATTAGCTGACAATACTATAACACTCTGTTATGTAACATAAGCTTAACATATCTTAACAGCATAGCTGTCTGAATGTCCTTTAGAGGAATGTTTTCGCACTTACTCAATTTCGAAATATTGTTGAATATTTGCAGATGGAGGCGATCATTGAGAAGATGCAGGCAGAGTCTGGAGGCGTGGCGGTGCGCACGGTAAAGGCGTTCATGAGCAAGGTGCCATCGGTGTTTACAGGCGCCGATCTGGTCGCCTGGATACTGAAGAACTTCGACGTCGAGGATGTCACAGAGGCGCTCCACTTTGCCCACTTGCTCAGCTCGCACGGCTACATTTTCCCCATTGACGATCATGCGCTGACCGTGAAGAACGACGGCACTTTCTACAGGTGAGACGGCGGTGCCTACTTTTAGACGCAGCCCGAAAATCAGATTGGAACCTGAACTTGAACTTGAACTTGAACTTGTTGCTCTAGATTTCAGACGCCTTATTTCTGGCCATCGAACTGCTGGGAGCCGGAGAATACGGATTATGCGGTGTATCTGTGCAAGCGTACGATGCAGAACAAGACGCGCCTGGAGCTGGCGGACTACGAGGCCGAGAATCTGGCCAAGCTGCAGAAGATGTTCTCGCGCAAATGGGAGTTCATATTCATGCAGGTGTGTGGGATATCATTTGATATATACTTCATAGTTAGCATATCTAAATTGACCAACTGGCAGGCCGAGTCGCAGAGCAAAGTGGCCAAGAAGCGGGATAAGCTGGAGCGGAAGGTTCTCGATTCGCAGGAGCGAGCCTTTTGGGATGTGCATCGGCCCATGCCGGGCTGTGTCAATACCACCGAGATAGACATTAAGAAGGCGTATCGACGCGGCGGCTCCAGCCATGGCACCGGCTCCGCTGGCGCCTCGGTGGCCAAGAATCCCGTCGAGCAGCTGACCCGCATCATTGCGCTGCGCAAACAGAAGCTCGAACGGCGCACAATCAAAGTGTCCAAAGCGGCCGAAGCGTGAGTACCCAAGATGCTCCCTTACTGGCTTTTCCCTACATCATTTGACCTTGTTTTTGATGAACCTTGTTTCAGTTTGGTTGCCTACTACGATCAGTACAATGAGTTCGACTACTTCTTAACCTCTCCGGAGCTACCCAATCCATGGCAAACGGACAGCACCGAGATGTGGGATACCGAGAAAAATAGGTAAGCCTCTCGAAGCGCCTGCTCTTCGAATTGAATCCACATTGAGCTCTGTCTCCCCATGCAGCAAAGATGTTCCTGTACGCCGGGTGAAGCGATGGGCCTTCAGCCTGCGGGAGCTGCTTAACGATCCCATTGGACGGGATCAGTTCACAAAGTTTTTGGAAAAGGAATACAGTGGCGAAAATCTCAAGTGAGCTACGCACCCGCAGCGGCAATCCTTATCCTCTTACTTATACTTACTCTCTTGCAACACTGTTCAGATTCTGGGAGTCGGTGCAGGAGATGAAGGCGCTGCCACAGTCCGAGATCAAGGAGGCCATACAAAAGATCTGGCAAGAGTTTCTCGCCCCCGATGCGCCGTGCCCGGTCAACGTGGACTCCAAGTCCGTGGAGCTGGCCCGCGAAGCGGTCAACTCGCCAAATGGCCCCAATCGCTGGTGCTTCGATGTGGCCGCCTCGCACGTGTATCACCTGATGAAGAGCGATTCGTATTCGCGCTATCTGCGCTCCGAAATGTACAAGGACTACGTCAACTGTTCCCGCAAGAAGGTCAAGTCAATACCCAATCTCTTTGGCGTGAAACGTTGAGATACGCTCCGGAATTTGCCTGTCGCGGGACTCGGCCTCGGCTCCGGCTGAGCCATTGTTTTTTGTGTGTGTGATCAGTCGTTGGCTGACTGGTTAGTTGGGGGGCTGATGGCTAGGTGGCTATGTGGCCGGATGGCGATCAATGTCCGGATCACATTGTGTGCTTGTTGTAATGTTTCGGAACAGTATGTAGTGCTCATATACTCGGACGCATACTCGAATCAATGTATATTAGACGTTGTTACTTATTACATAATAACCTACCAATTACCACTAGGTCGCGTGTGTTCTTAACGTCTCGTTTTGTTAACCGATCGACACGTTGCCCGTGTCCCGTGTCCCGTGTCCCGTGCAAGCGGTGCGCAGTCCTAGGCCGAAAGAGCCAGGACGACTCCGTTTAGCCGTTATCCGCTTCCTCGTTTCGGCCCAATTCGAAAGTCAACTCATTAAATCCTATCGAAAAAGAAACTGCCAAGAGCTTCTCGAAACAGGAATACAGCTGAAGATGAAGATGAAGATGAAGATGAAGTTAGGAGTAAAAAGCAATCGCCGCAAAAGGATGCATAGCATGTTGCAGCCACACGTTCAACGATGCTTTGCCATTGCCATTTCTAACTGTAACCGATAACACCAATACAACAGAGAACACGAACGTACGTGGGAATTACACGCACACACACACACACGCACATACATACGTTTCAAGTGTAATAATCAGTAAGGTAATTAGCATAACAAAAACAATAAAACTAAAGCAAATGCAAAGTCGAAATCGAAACCGAAAGCGAAAGCGAAAAGAATACCAACTACCGATGAGAGCCGAGTACATTGGCGTACTTCAACTTATACCTACATATACTTAAACTTATACTTATGCTTATACCTAAACTAATACTAATACTTATACTTACTTGTATTAGCATGTTACGAAGCTAACGGCGTTCAATCTAGACGAACCAATTGAATCAATCAATTCGAATCATAGATGAAAACTGGCAATTTCTTCTATTCCACTCTTTATTTTCGATCATACATATGTATGTATGTTTGTTTTAAATCCCGCTCTCTCTCTCTCTCACTCTGTCTCGCTCGCTCTGTCATTAAAAGTTAAACTAATGCACACACACGCAACTCCTCTTGCAGTGCGTTCCCATTTGTTCCTATGTTCCTATGTTGCTCTGTTCCTTTGTTCGCCTATTCTACAACACACACACACACACATACATACACATACATACATATATATATATATCGCCAAACGCAACAAACGTAACTATTGTTATATTACTTTTTTTTTCATTTACACGTCTCTGCAATTGTGTGTATATTGACTTATGTATGTGTGCGTGTGTTTACGAGGATCATACAGTGTTGGAAAGGGAAAGAGAAAGTACGTTAAAATAATTACGAGCTTTGCTAACGTAAAAGCTGTTAAGCGATATGAATGCAACTGAGAGAACGGGCGAGTGGGAGACAGAAAGAGAGGAGGAGCGAGATAGCGAGAGAGTGGATTAGCAATCAGCAGAGCTAAGCAGAGACGCACATATACACATACATATGTATGTATATTTGTATATGCGAATGAGTCAATGCTTGACGACAGGGCAATCTATCAACTCAATCGTTTTCTTCAGTTTCACAAATCGGTGCCCAGATACACACACACACACACACATAGACAGATGGACATGTATGCACATAAGATGTGAAGTCAGTATATATATATAGATGTATGTCTGTGTATGTGTATCGAGCAAGTCGTTCACGCACACACACACACACGTAAATGCTTCTCTGAGCACGCGACATGGAGCAGAGGAATGGAAAATAAAATAGATAAAAAGCGCTGCCTGCCTTTAGGCGGCGATTAATAATTGAAAATGTAGAATGAAACCCGAAAATCTCTTTGTGTATGTAATTGTATTGTATGTTTGTAAATGTAAAGCGGTGTCTAATTTAAAAACAAAACAAAAAACAAAGAACAAAAACAGAATGTAATCATATACAAAAGCAGCAGCAGCAGCTAACCAAATAATTATTAATTATAAAATATATTGTATTCAAGTACAATCTCAATGTGCGTCTTCTGTGTGTCGGTAGTCAAATTTAAATCAATTTCAAACAACTTATACTAAACTAAATACAGATTAAAAACAAAAACAAAACAAGTCAAGTAAAAATGGATAAGTGAACTATATAAATGTTTACAATTGCTGAATTGGCTTTTTACGAGTATTATATGTGGATGGATACAAATGTTTGTTATTTAAGTTTCTCTTATTGTTTAACGATTTCATTTGCGTGATGGGAAAAAAATTCACACAAACACAAAAAAACCTAAAAATTAAAAGTTTTGGAAAACTGTTTACGTACTTTGTTATTGTTTCCTCCATTGCCCACCGTTCTGTGAAAAAATAAAAAAAACTAATATAAACTATATAAGAGTACATAAACCATATGAGAAAACCACTAGCAAAAAAACGAAAAAAAAGAGAAAAAACTTAAGTAAGCGAGACAAAAGCTCTATACAAAATCTACTTAAGCAATTTGTGTCGAAGTATTTTATGTTGTTGTTGTTGTTTTTTGCATTACTTCGCTGTTAAGTGCATGATTTACATTTACATTYACAGTTACTAGAACCTATGTTTACCCAATCCCGTCAAGATTGTCTCGGGTAGCCGTAAATGCCAAAGCGAATACACACAAATACACAAATAAAGAAATAAAAATACAACTAAATCAAAGTAACTAACAGCAGCAACTAACAAATAACTGAATAAACAGATAAACAAATTAATAAATTCATAATTATAATAATAGCCCCCGAGTAAGGTATTCGAATCAGTCGTGCTGAGCATAGCTAAATGTATTGCACCTCTCTATGTATTTGAGCCGAAAGGATCACAGTATAATAGAGCTTCTAGTTTCTAGAATCTGCAGCCACCGTATTGTATCTAGGCTAGCTGAACAACTGGAAATGCAAGCGACCGCGTTTATTGTAAATTGTTTAACAAAACACTAAATAAATAAAGGCGCAATTTAAGTGAATTTAAATTGTGACCCCAATTACTAATAACCCTTTGTCTTTCCTATCAACCTACAGGTATTCCGACCATAAACGTGATATACCTGGCCGGGACATCCCTGACATTCTAAACATAGAGGTGCTAGATAGTGTCTTGAGCAAATCACGGGATACCCAATTGTAAAGTAGTCTTATCTATGTGTATGCCAATATAATCCTGTAACTGTAAGGCATCTACAGAGATCACCAAGCAACTACAATAAACCATCTTATTATCTAGAGCCTAGCACAATTGGCGAATAAGTAAGCGTATTCTAGTGGGGAGTAGTCGACTAGCAAATACCTTGTTGATACAATCATTATAGACTTTTTTATTCGTACATATATAAACACACAGTAAACTCTATTTTCAAATTTAATAGAATGCTGAAAGTTATCCACGTCGCACAAAGTAAATGGAGTAGAAAATCCCAAGTTATTTAATAGGTCAAAAGAACGTCATTTGGGAAAAGAGTTGAAATATCGAAAAAGATTGAAACATCATACTGAATACTGTATATATGTATACAAGAATTTATAGCATTAGAGTATTTGCCGTTCACGACATAGTTGCATTCCTATGTACATATATCCTGAATCCAGCCTCTACTTTAGGAGGGCTTAGAATATACACATCCATTTATGGATGGAGCGAGCCTTTGAAAGTAGAGTTAACTCTATCTATTCATAACTTTCGCTGGGTTTAGGCTATACAAGCACAGGCATTCTCACATTCACATGTCTTATCATCACTTTTATTTACATTTCATTTACAAATTCTAAGACCCCAGATCGAAATAGATCATCGATCGTGTTCAAACGAAAGATGTTGATGAGTTAAAGCAAGGGTGATCTAGTTGTGAAATGGGAATATCTACCTATTACAGTTTGCCAGATAAATGAATGAATGGACGTACACAATGACAGATAGACGCAGTTGTTATCCCTGATCAAGGATATGTGTATAGTTAGGACTCAGCTGTCTTCGATTGTTGGACACAGCTGAATACAGTCACTCAGTTCTCAAGGGAGTAAGAGTAGGACGACTTTAAAGCGAGTAGAAATAATCGAAAAACTCTCCAAAGTGTTGAGGTCCTTTAATGGGACTCTCAAACTTGTAAGCAAAATGGCCAGCATCAAGTTGTATTTCGGGCTTGGAGCATCGTTGGCCACATATCTGTTGTTGTCTGGCCGTGTGTTGTTTATATAGCGACTAGATAAGCCTAATGCCAATTGATAACGGCGCAGCAGCAATGACAGCGCTGAGGCAGCGCTAAGCTCTAAGCACTTCCCGTCACGAAGCTGGTCCCTCTCATAAAGTTCAAGTGGCTTATCAATGTGCCTCTGAATGCTGGCCAAGTTATCTGCACACGGCTCTAACTAAAAACCACTTATCTAATTAATGCAGGGCTCGTAAGCCACTTAGTCAGCTACCCACTTAGCCAGATAGACGAACTGCTACTGGGACCCGCACTGCGCCGGAGTCCGATAAGGCGCCGAGACGTGCCAAAAACTACAGAGAGATGATCAACATTTACAACTGTTGCTAATAATATAAACTAGCTTAGCTTTTTTTTGTTTTCTTTTCGGAAATTAGCGACAAGTAGAGCTTGTTCGATCAGAGCGACCCACTAGAGTCGTGTCGATCACGTTTTTGCTATAAACAACGCACAACACGCAATTTGCATGCGGGTCCGACAAAGGGACAGCGACTTTTTGTTGGGGGTGTTCGGGCGTGTGAAATTCCCCTGAAATCGTTGATCTATAGCGAGTCATTGTACTTGACTATCGAAAATAACGGCATAATGACGCACACATCCAATTCGAGTGCTACAACAAGAACAACAGCAAATGAGCAATAGATCAATAGCCTAGGATCTTGTTTAAATAATCCTATATAACGTCTGGCATAATCACATCCCGAACTTAAGTTTATTAATCCACATTCAGCTTTACATTTCGGGCTTAGATCATAACTCAAGTCAAAGACGGTTCTCAGTTAATTGTTATAAATGAGAACTGCTTGAACAGATTCACCGATATTATCTTTGCCTTGAATGAGAATATTTCTCAGTCTGTCTTTAATCCAAAAAACAGTAAACTTCATATAGCATAAGCATAGTTATTATTCTTAGTCATCCGGACGGACTTAGCTCCAATTGTAAATTATATGATTCTGAATAATATAATTTATATACCCCTATGGAACTCGCTTTCAGCCCGTATGTTACCTATCTTAACGCACAACTCGTAAGTAGTTCGATGAAACAACTGCGAGTTCAGAAATACAATAAGTCAATAAAGCGTAGACTCAATTATGATTCCGAATAATATCATTGATACACATATGTTTTTTTTATGTTGCCACGGACAATGATATCCATATGAAGGTGTTTATGGACTAGAGTGAAATAAGTCTACTAAGCAATTCAAAGTTCGGAAGTCTGCAGAGCCAACAGAAATCAAACCCTCATTATAACGCCGAAAATTGTAATTGATATATCCCAATATATTTTACTGCAAACATATTCGTCTATTTAAGTGGAATTAGATAATAGCAACAAAGTCCGATAGTGCGATAAAACAGTTCGGAAACCCGAGGAGTCCATGACCAGAGCAGAATTTGTGTTTAATGTAAATTATATATTATATGAACTACATTGAGTGCCGAGAGTCCCACTCATAGCAATGCAGTAATGAAACTCAAATAACAAATGAATAAACAATGTGTAGCTGCGTTACAATCTGAATCGATTGCAAAACAAATTGGAAATAGCAATTAAGGAATCTGAGTGGCCGATAACGAGTCGACAGATAAGTAGATACAAAAAATACATATGTATATATGGTTAGGTATGCATCGCTATGTAGCGATATAGGGTCCGATACTGTCTATAKATTCCTGATTTATTTATTTTTCTGCCTCTTGATGCTCTGCTCTCGAGTCACATGACTGACAGTCGCATGACGGCAGGGCACATCTCTATAATTGAATCTATAGTATCTATATAGACGTATATATACATATGTATATAGTATAGTTTCAGCATTTCCATCTCTTCTGAAGTCGAACCGCGCTGATAATGGCACAGAGCATCCATAATTCCGATTAAGTGCAGTCTTTTAGGCACAATCTTAATCTCTTAATGATATACTCTGAACTGGGAAACTTTACAACTATTTCTCTTTAATCTTAAAAATTTCCCAGCTTTTATCGGTGTGTTTTTTGTTTTCGTTTTCTTAATAAAACAGAAACACTTTTTGCATATGTGTAGATAATTATTTACATGGGGCTTAGCACAGTTTGGTTGAACCATGAGAGAAATAATAATGTTGGGGTCTGGAGTTTTTATACGCATGGCACACGAACTGTTTATAGTCTGACAATTTGACAATCTGTATTATCATAGCCAAAATGGGGATTAGTATCTGTGCCACGCTTACCTTAGCGCCAGCGTTACACTGAGCGAAAAAGACGTGTATATAAGTATATGCCTGATGAATTAATGATATAAATGGAAGCCCCACTTGATAAACTATTCAAATAACTACTTTATATACATATATGTATATGAATATCTGGTATTACTTAGGTATGCTAATATCTTGTTTACCCTTTGACGAACTGTGCACAATTTTACACTCAGCTCGTCTGTTTCTTTGTTGCTGTCTTTTGCCGCACCAGGCTTAGGAGTGAGTGTGCAGATCGTAAAGCAAATGTGTGCTCGCATATCATCGTCCTTATCAGTATCATCACCTTATTGTGTCACTTGGCAATCAGATAAGAAACCCGCTTATCAGTGTCTCGGCGAGAAGAATGCACAAATACAAGCATGCACCCGTCTCTCTCTCCCTCTCTTTCTCCCCCTCCTGAAAGAAGAAGCGAAAAGAGCGTTGTGCAAGGCACGCACAGTGCCACAGACATCAAAGAATGAGTCCAAGAGAGGTAGAGCACGAGCGAGAGCAAGAGCGGGATAGAGAGAGGGAGAGAGTGGGGCTACAGCCGTTCGCTTGGTCGCACGTCAGCTGATTGCGAAGACGCTGCACCGTGGGGCAAATACATTAAATACATTAAATAATTTATTTTTGTAAAAATAAGACAACTGTACACACACGGAAACGAGTTAATAAAAATAATAATAAAAAAAAAAAACATTATCAAATATCTATATCATATATAGTATATCTTTACACATAAACAAATAATTCATTGTTTAAACATTTAATAATTAGTAATGAATAAAATAGTGATTAGATATTCACAATAGCAAATGATCACTCGATCACAAGTTTAGATTAGACCCACTGTGCGGTATTGGGGCGGCATCTTGGATGATCGCCGACGCGACGC